GTTTTATGCCTTTCCCACTCTCAGCTCTATTTTAGCTAGGCCAGACACAACTAAAAGGTTTTGTTGTTGTTGTTGTTGTTGTTGTTGTTGTTGTTTTGTTTTGGTCTGTCCTGTTCACTTTATCTATTCAGCATCTAGAATAATGGCACTCAATATGTATTTGTAGATTGCAAAAATGGGTGAAGATTTCTACCCATTTACTTGTGTTCCTTATCAACTCAGAAGACCCTCCTCTCTTCATCAGGAGGTATCATCTTACCCACCTTAAATGGGGGAGGGGGACCAGCATTCATTACCCATCTACCAGGTGCCTATGTGTCAAGCACTTTGATAAGTGATTTACGTCACTTTTCTTTTACATTCTTGATGCAATTCAGCAAGTTAGTTATTAATATGGTCATTTTAAAGGTAAGTCATAGCACATAATCAGTTTAACCTAATTCACACCACGAATAAGGGTTAGTGTAATTACCTGGTGTGGTTGCTTACGCACACTGGGTATTTGATTCATACCTACAGGACTGCATTAAGATTCATGGGTTATGAAGAGGGGAAGGATCATTCAAAGGTAACAGAGTTACTAGTAAGGAGCCTTTCTAAACTTCCCTGAATAGAATGAGTAATTCTGCTTTTGTTGTCTCAAAGTGGTTTATATATTCTACTTATAGCATTTATCCAAAATATATAATTCTGTTTAGAAAATCAGTCTCATCCAACAGATTGTGACCTCCTGAAAAATTAGGACTGTTATCATTTTTTTCACTAATGTTGAATGAATAAATACTACAGATAAGTCAAAGATGATTAGAGCTAATTTGATGACTAGAGAAATCTTTAGTGTCCTTCAAGCAATGTTGCAGTACAGTGCAAAGGATACAAAATTAAAAGGAATGGGTGGCCAGAGAGAGGAAGTAACATGTAAGGATAATTTATTCAAAATATTGACTGTGGATAATAACTGGATAATAGAGGGGGCAGCAGAGCCAGCAGCTGGAAAATGGTGAGGCTAGTGACAAAAAGTTATTATAATTATCATCTTAAATAAGTTCAGCATAATTAGGCCTGAGGGGAATAAGCACTGGAAGAAATAAGAATGAACAATTGAGAATTCATGGACACTGACTACTTTATTGGTTCTCAAACTGTGATCTTTGAACCAAGAGTCTCAGCCTTACCTGGGAACTTATTAGAAATATAAATTTTGGAATCTGGGCTCAAATTAAGTGAATCAGAAACTTTGAGGTTTTGGTCTCACATTTTGTATTTTAATGTGTTAGGGAGATAAATCTGAGAGCCACTAAGGCAAACTTGAAGGAAATTTCCAGATGAGAAGGTGCTTGGGAATTATCTTCATATTTCCTAGGCACTCTTACAATTACTTTTAAACATAACAAGTTTAATTGTCAACATGTTTTCAAAGCTTGAAGTCAATTTACAACTAGAGAATTATGTAGCAATTTGTGGATTATGAGGGATAGAATTGCTCTGAATATTCTTGATTCATTAATAAAAGAAATGAGACTGATTTATACCATAATTTAGCATCTACTAGTGCAAGAAGAGATGAGCCAAATGGCATGCCCCATGTTGTGAAGATTTCAGATACATGTTCATAAGTCTTCCAAACTCACTCTCATCCTTCACCTGAAAGTGTATTAAAACACACTTAAATAACTCTATAGTGAATTTTGTCTACTATGATCAGCAGAGTGATGGACTAGATAAAATGGCATATCATCCATGCTTTCCAAGCTAACACCGGCTGCAAATTTGCTTCTTATTGGCACATTTAAATTATTGCTCAGATATTTACCCAGGAATTTTGAATCAGAATACAAAATTTTATGTTGCAGATAACAGAGTTCAGTGCTTAACATCAAAGTTCATAAACTGTTAATGAATTTCCCATGTCTGAGTTTCACTGCCATTGCATTGACTTTTAGAAGCCTAATATCTTTACCCTTACACTAAACAGTTCACTTATATGAAATCAGACCACAGTGTGTGTATATAAAGAATAAGGAAAGGAAAGGAGGAAACACTATCCCTGTCCTTCAACTGGCATATGCTGGTACTGCATTACCAGTCTCAGCATTCCCATTCAGGGTTGAAAGTCAAGTGTGAGGATGTTGCTCAGTTAGTGCATTACATATTATATTGTGTCAAAGCAGTAGGCCTAATACCACTGCCCAAAAGCAATCTTACACCTCAAATGTAAAGTGGTGCAGAGAAGGATAAGAAGGATTACAGGAATAAATATTCATCCAGCCTCATGAAATGGGTGCTCTTCTGGAAAGAGGCAGAAATGCATGGGGGGAGCACCATGCTCTTGCACAAATTGCTGTTGAATGCATATCTGAGACAAAAACTGATTCACACATAAAGAATGAAAGAAATGAAATGTTATCACTTAAGGAAACGTTTCTGGGCACACTTAAACAGATCTATTATCAAAGTGTATTAAAACATTAGTGTGAGATAACTTCCCACATCTACAAGACTGTATCAGAAGGAAGCCCTTTCAGAGCTCCTCCTATTACATGATATTTACAGAAATGGTCTCATGGATCTCGGCAAACCTAACAGGTCCCATACTCAGAAAAACCCAAAATTTCCTCATCCCTCTGTATCAAGGAAATAGCCCTAACATATAGCAACACATCACAGTACACATTTATATTGAACAGTCCTTGAAAAAGAGATACTGAAATACAGTAAAAAATCTGGTTGAGCCATTGAAACAAAACCATCAACCAATACAATCAGATAATTCAACTTTATAAGCTTTAGTAAAAATTTTCCTAATCATGGCTTCTTTTCCCTCTATTATGTTTGTATATTCTTGGAACAGTTAATATTTAAGCAATCATGAATGCTCCAGTGCATATATCAAAACAACTAGTACTGCTTGCCAGTCTTCATACAGCACATGAATTCTAATGTTAGTCTCCTTTATTTAAACAAAATTAAGTTCTGTGCTCTCTGCCAAGGGTTGTTTACAAATTATTGCATTCTTCAACACCACCACACATTGCAATAACATTGAGAAAGATAAAGTATTTCTAAGAATTGCAATTACCATAAAGACATTAGCTTTGTAGCTACGACCAGACAGGTTTAATACACATTTTCCTGGTTTTATTTCTAAATCTGTAACCAAAAATGCCTTTTTGGGGGGTCCTACATGACCAGGACTGACATTAATTCAGCCAAATGTAATTTATGGTGGAAAGATGTCTTAATTCTTTATGTAGGCCCGATTGTCCCTTTTTTACACTCTTGATTTTGGTCTTATAATGGTATTGCCAACAAAAAGGGAACAGATGATATCAACTGTATAAAAAGTCAAGCAATTTAAGAGTTTTACACTTGTTAGCTTAATTTATTGTAGCAATCTGTGAAAGGAGAGCTTAAACTTGAAACCATGACAACATTAAATGGAATAAGGATTCATCTCAATTGCCACCTTTAGGCCCAGCAGGGCACTCATGATGTTAGCTTCTCAGACAAGACAATTACTGCTTTCCTACACTTCCTGCTCCACCTCTCAGTATTTTCCTTTCTAGTTCCACTTATTCAAGGAGAAAATGCTGCAAGTGCATTAGCCTAATGTAGCTGTGACCAGTGGCAAATCAACAACTATTTGTACTCATTTTTGTAAAGCCCAGAATAAATTAATGAAATATGTCTATACTTAACAAAGAAAAGTTGTTCTGCTACTTTCAAGTGTTTTCAATTAATCAACCTGTCTATATTAGGTTTACTAACTAGAAACTCTTCTGAGAACAGATTTAATAAAAATCAAATTATTTTAAATTGGTATAGAAATAGTTTATGAACAAGAATATCTCTTGGGTATTAAATGGTTTCTTCTCAGATATAAACACTTAGCTAAAACATTTAACTTTTATTACAATGAGTATTTTACTTAAAACTGTTAGTCAGTCATGGTGGTGCATGCCTGTAATCCCAAATACTTGGGAGGCTGAGGCAGGAGGATCTCGAGTACAAGGCCACCCTGGGCAACAGAGTGAGACCCCACACACACAATATAATAAAATAAAGGAAATAACAAAATTGTTTATATTAGCCTTTGGAGTGGGTCAAATAATAATTTTCCTATTGCTGTTTTCTCCATACATAGTTCCAAAGATTAGAACAAACTGGTTTAAGACATGTATTATTTGGAAAGATAACTAGAATTCAGCATTTTAAAGTTAGGGATGTTTTTTAACTATGTTGATGCTAGTGGCTATATTCATTCATTAATTTCCACTGCTACATACTATTTTGCCATATAACTAATTTTAGTTATATTTTCCTGTTGAAAATTTTCCTTAAGGACTTTTCATTTACTTTTTTTTTTTAGCAGGGGGCACAGGGAAATCATTATTTCAGATATTATTACAGATAATCCTGTTGTAAACATCCTTTCTCATTGAAGTAAAATACACATGAAATATATCATTTAACCATTTTAAATGTATAGTTCAATGGCATTAAGTACATTGACACTGTTGTACACCCATCACCACTTTCCATCTTCAGAGGTTCTTATCATCCCTAACTGAAATTGTTCCTATTAAACACAAACATTTCATCCTACTCTCTCCTTAATGCTTGGTAACCACTACTCTACTTTCTTGTATCTATGAATTTGACTATTCTAGGTAACTCTCAAATAAGCAGAATCATACAATATCTGTCATTCTGTGTGTGGTTTATTTCACTCTGTAAATGTCTTCAAGGATCACATATGCATGTACCAGAAATTCATTCTTTTATTTATTATTTTGGTGGTGCTATGGATGAAATTCAGGGCCTCCCACATGATACGCAGGTGCTCTACAACTGAATTACATCTCTCCAGCCCCTAAAATTTCATTATTCTTTAAGGCAGAATACTATCCAATTATACCTATACACTAAGCTTTGTATGTCCATTCATCTATCCATGGACGTTTGGATCTTTCCAACTTTTTCTTATTAAAAATAATGCTGTGCTTGCTTCGACAGCATATATACTAAAAATGGGAACGATACAGAGAAGAATAGCATGGCCCCTGCACAAGAATGGCATGCAAATTCGTGAAGCGTTTCATATTAAAAAAATAAATAATGCTGGGCTTGGGTTGTGGCTCAGTGGTAGTGCACTTGCCATGCACATGTGATGCACTGGGTTCGATCCTTGGCACTAAATAAAAATAGATAAAGATATTTGGTACATCTACAACTAAAAAAAATTAAAAGAATAATACTATTCTGAATATTAGTGTGCAATCACTGGAATCCCTACTTTCATGACTTTTATGTATATACCCAGAAGTAAAATTGCTGAATTATACAATAATTTTTAACTTAATTTTGTGATAACCACCATACAGTTTCCCATCTTACACTCTTACTAGTAATATATAAGGATCTCAATTTCCACAAATCCTTCCCAACACTTGTTTTGTGGTTTAGTTTTGACAGCAATTATTTTAATAGGTACAAAGTAGTATTTCATTGTGCTTTTGCTAATAATTAGTGATGGTGAACAACTTTTCACATGCTTATATCTTCTTGGAGAAATATCGATTTAAAAAGTCCTTTGCCTATTTTTTTTTTAACTGTGTTCCTTGTTTTTGTGTTACCAAGTCATAGGAGTTCTTCACATATTCTGGATATTAACTTGTTATTGGATACCTAATTCACAAATTTATTCTCCATTTCTGTATGTAGTCTTTTTACTTTGTTGATATGACCTTTGATGGTGTGATCATTCTTGAATATCTGTCAAGAGTACTGATTTAGCAGATCTGGGTATTGTTCCTTCAACATTTCTAGACTGTACCAAATTGTCTTCTACAATGCATGCACCCAGTTACTATTTTATCAGCAATTCCCTTTATTCCTCATCTTTATTTTGACTTTACTTAATTTAATCGTATAAATAAAAATGATTTGAACAATTTGGAAAACAATATCTTTTCAAATGAAACCTATACTTTCCATATGGCTCAACTTTCCTACACCTAGCTAATTGTGCAATAAAAGTGGAAACCCATATGCAGCAAAATGAAATTAAGCCCCTATCCCTCACCATGCAAAAAACTTAACTCAAAGTGGATTAAGGACCTAGGAATTAAACCAGAGACCCTGCACCTAATCGAAGAAAAAGTAGGCCCAATTATTCATCATGTTGGATTAGGCCCTCACTTCCTTAATAAGACTCATATGGCACAAGAAATAAAATCAAGAATTGATAAATTGGATGGATTCAAACTGAAAATCTTCTTCTCAGCAAAATCATCATCATCATCATCATCATCATCATCATCAGTGAGGTGAATAGAGAGCCTACAGAATTGGAGCAAAGTCTTACCACTTGCACATCAGATAGAGCACCTTTAGGATACATAAAAACTCAAAAAACTTAAAACAAAAATAACCCAAACAGTAAATGGGCCAAGGAACTGAACAGACACTTCTCAGAAGGTGATATACAATCAATCAACAAACATAAGAAAAAAAGTTCAACATCACTAGCAATTAGAAAAATCAAAACCACTCTAAGATTTCATCTCACTCAAGTCAGAATGGCAGTTATTAAGAATACAAACAATAATATGTGTTGGTGAGGATGTGGGGGAAAAGGCACACTCATACATTGCCAGTGGGACTGAAAATTGGTGCAGCCAATATGGAAAGCAGTATGGAGATTCCTTGACAAACGGGGAATGGAACAACCATTTGGCCCAGCTACCACATTCCTGCGTCTATACCCAAAGGACTTAAAAACAGCATACTACAGAGACACAGCCACATCAATGTTTATAGCAGCACAATTCACAATAGCTAAACTGTGGAATCAAACTAGATGCTCTTCAGTAGATGAATGGATTAAAAAAAACTGTGGTATACTTATACAATAGAATATTACTCAGCATTAAAAGAGAATAAAATCATGGAATTTGGGCTGGGATTGTAGCTCAGTTGTAGAGTGCTTCCCTAGCATTTGTGAGGCACTGGGTTTGATTCTCAGCATGACTGTTGAGAGCCACAGCCAAAGGGGCCCCAGCAAACTTCCAGCTGCCAGCAAACTTCCAGCTGCTGGCTGATGATTGGCTCACAGCGGCCCCAGCAACATCTAGCTGATTGGCTCCTCGGCCCCAGCAACATCTAGCTGATTGGCTCCTCTGCGGTGATGCTCATTGGGCTGTTTCCCTGCTCTTTCAGACCACGGAGCTGCTCATTGGGGGACTTTTTTGGCTCCGCCCACGTGACCCAGCCAATCGGCCTCAAGAGCAGGAGGATTGTGGGAGGTGGAGAGAAGCTTGTGGGGGAGAGAGAGGCTTGTGGAAAGCCGGTGGTGGCAGTTGAGGCTCTGAGGGTTTTTCCTGAGAGGCTGTTTTGTTTGGCGTGTGTGGTTCTAAAAATAAAGTTAGTTTCTTTTGACAAGTGGCTCCTGATTGTGCCCAGCCAGACTGCGGCATTCCAGCTGCCAGCACATGACATATAAATAAAATAAAGGCACACTGACAATTTTAAAAATATTTTTAAAAAATCATGGAATTTGTAGGTAAATGGATGGAGTTGGAGAACATTATGCTAAGTGAAAAAAGCCATTCCAAAAAAGTAAAGACCAAATGTTTTATCTGATATGTGGATGCTGATCCATAATGGGGATGGGGGGCAGCATGAGAGAAATGGAGCAACTTTAGATAGGGTAAAGGCTAGAGAGGAAAACAGAAGGCACATTAGGGTAGGAAAGATGGTGGAATGATATGAACATAATTACCCTAAGATCACGTATGGAGACATGAATGGTATATGACTCTACTTTGTGAACAACTAGAGGCATGAAAAATTGTGCTCTATATGTGCTCTATGAATTGAAATGAATTCTGCTGTCATGTACAACAAATTTGAATAAATAAATAAATTTAAAATTAAAAAAAGAAGCTTGGTTAGGTTTAAGCTCTATTAACCATGAACACATTTGACTTCTGATAAAATAACAATATAAAAACCCAATAAAAGTCCTAAGGAGATGCTTTAAGATATCAATTAATAATCTGGTCTTTCTCATATATTTCAAAAAACCTGAAATTTGGAATCAAGAAGGGATCTGAATGGGCCAGTCTGTGACTGATGAAAAATCCTTGCAATTCAGTATCTTCATGTTTCCCCCAAATATTTGAATGTAGCTTATAATACTTTATTTCCTTAAGCACAAATTTCCAAGTATTCTTTTTTAATAAGTGCACCTTCTCACTTGTTTGAATTTGAAGACTTGAGCTCCTTTCCTAAAACAATAACCCTTCACACACCTTATATTTCCTCATTCCTGGATGCTTGGATTATAAAGCGATCCCTCATACTAAATGTTAAACAGAAACCTTCTTAATTACTATTTATATCGAAAATTTCATGACAGCCTCTTCATGACAGAAATATGATGGTTCTACATAATTATTGAATCAGAAGGGATATGGCATAGAACAGTCATAGAGTAGTATCATTTTTATAGTTTTGGAAAACTTCCTGATGAGTTTTATTTAAAAATAAAAACTAATGACATTTATTTATATGTAGAAAATAGTAATTTGAGAAACATTTTTAAAAATACCATTATTAGCCAGGCATGGTGGCGCTTGCCTATAATCCCAGTGGCTCAGGAGGCTGAGACAGGTGGATTCTGAGTTCAAAGCCAGCCTCAGCAAAAGTGGGGATGTAAGCAAATCAGTGAGACCCTGTCTCTAAATAAAATATAAAATAGGGATGGGGATGTAGCTCAGTAGTCGAGTACCCTTGAGTTCAATCACCAGTTCCCCCACACAAAAAAAAAAATAGTGTAAGAGGAAAGAGAGTAGCATGCAAATCAAGATTTTAAATGGGGGGCAGGAAACGAAGGGAGAAAAATCAAAGAAGGGCAAGGATTTGTGCTTGCCCCCATGAAATAAGTCAAGGAAAGTAAGACTGAAAATATTATTTGTATAATAGAAGTGAAGTAAATGTTATAAATGGGGCCAGTATTGTAGTATTCCTTTACAAAGAGGTAGAGCAGCTTTTCAGTGTGGGATATGTATTGTCTTGTAGTTAGTTAGCCAGTATTTATGAACAACACTATTTATTTTTCATGTGTGTTATTAATATAAAATCCATTCTGCTTTATACATACACACACACATACACACAGTATTCTCTCCTGTCTCTTGCTTTAGTATTACAATGTTCTATATCTAACAACTAGCTCATAAGTAATCCAAGGACTGGAGATATATGTTTTATTTCTCTTTATCCCTGCAAAATATCTAACACTGGTTTCCACAGAGAGTAAAGCCTCAATAAATATGATCAACTAGCTACCTAAGTTCTAACTAAAAGGAATTTAAATGAATATAAATAATTCTTAGATTCTCCAAAATTACCACAGAGTTTTATGTTCACATTAACTGCCACTTTATAAACCACCTTCCATGGTCATTGGTTCTCCTTGTTAAGACTGCACAATGCCTGAAGTAGGACAGCTTCATTTGACATGAAAATCAGTTTGTAAAACTGTAGCCATGGGTTTGTAGTTGGTGTTTTTTATTTGTGTGTGTGTGGTGTGTGTGTGTGTGTTGCTGGGGATCAAACCGAGGGACCTTGTGTATGCCAAGCAAGTGCTCTTCCATTGAGCTACATCCTCAGCCCTGCAGCCATGTGTTTTCAACAACAGCTTCACACAGGGTTGAAATCCCCTTTGAACAGAGCTTTTATAGAATAAAAAGGCATTTGTTTTCAAACTTACTAATTATATTCACTAAATGCTGTTCATGTTGTCAACTTTCCCCCACTGTGAGAATTACAAAATCAGTCATAAGATTAAACTCAGAAAATGACTACCGCAATTCACAGAATACTAAGCCAGCTGGGTTCATTTAAATCCTCTATGGAAACAGTCTTTGTGGTGAACCAAGTAAGACCCACAGCTAGTCCCATAAATCATCATTTTTTGCCTACTCCAGTACTGACAACATGTATTGCCACTTCTGGTATGTGGGGGGACTCATCATAATCATCCCCCAAATTTTGTAAACTAGAGAATTATTCATCTCTGCCAGTAATACTACTCAGAACA